CTTGAATCTCTTCAAGTTCGATTTGCCTCCCACTGTCTCCTTGGCTTATGAGTTCTCGCTCTCGGAAAACTCCTCTCCTCGCAACAAAGACAACATTGTCCTTCGGTCTATAGAAGAGATATCCAAAGGATGTCTGCGGGTAGCCGATGAAAATACATCGCTCACTTCGAGGTTCAAGCTTGTCGTGAGTATCTCGTCTTACGAAAGCCTCGCAACCCCAAACCTTGATGTGTGCCAACGAGGGAGCTTTCCCCGTCCACATCTCGTGAGGTGTTTTGGCAACCTTCTTTGTAGGGACTCGGTTAAGGATATGGGCGGCAGTCTCTAAGGCATACCCCCAAAAGAAGATAGGTAGTGAAGCACGACTCATCATAGAGCGAACCATATCCAATAAGGTTCGATTACGCCTTTCTGCCACACCATTCAACTGCGGTGTCCTAGGAGGCGTCAATTGCGAAACTATTCCACACTCCTTGAGATAATCGTGGAATTCAAGACTTAGGTACTCTCCTCCTCGATCGGATCGAAGCATCTTGATTTTCCTGCCCAATTGATTCTCCACTTCATTCTTGAACTCTTTGAACTTTTCAAAGGTTTCTGACTTTTGCTTGATTAAATAGATATACCCATATCTACTATAATCATCGGTAAAAGTCACATAGAAGCGGTTCCCATCCTTCGTGGTTGATCTAAAGGGTCCACATACATCGGTATGTATTAGGTCCAATAGCCCCTCACCCCTTTCACAAGTATTCGTGAAGGGTGACTTAGTCATCTTTCCAAGTAAACAAGACTCGCATGTGTCATCTTCCCTAAGGTCGAATGACTCCAACACTCCATCCTTTTGGAGTTGGGCTATGCGTTTCTTGTTGACATGTCCAAGACGGCAATGCCACAAGGATGCTTTATCCAAACTAGTGGAAGAATCAATATTCAAAACATCATTTCCTAAGTTATCAACAATCATAACAGTTTCATATATTCCATTACATGGTATAGCTTCAAAGTAAAAGACACTATTTAGATAAGCCAAAATAGAACATTCTCATTATTAAAAGAAAATCTAAATCCTTGTCTATATAAACCATGAAATGAAATGATGTTTCTAGCCATTTCTGGCGAATAGCAACAATTGTTCAAATCTAAACATAAATTATTCCTAAGCACTAAAGAATACACTCCAATCTTGGTAACAGGCGACGATCTTCTGTTCCCCATGATTAGATTGATCCTTCCTTGCTCCACATCCCTACTTCTTCTTAGTCCCTGCACATTTGAACAAATGTGATAACCACAACCGGTGTCAAGAACCCAAGAAATAGCATGATTAGAATCGTTAGATTTAATTGTGTATATACCTGCGAAAGATGGCTTGATCTTTCCTTCTTTGATTGCTTGCAGGTATTCTGGGCAGCTTCTCTTCTAATGTCCTATCTTGTGGCAGTGGTGGCACTCTGCCTCCTTCGGGTTAGGATAGGGATTAGTGGGATCAACTTTGGTCCCACTAGAAGAGGCACCATCTCGGGCTTTTACCTTGCGATAGTTCTTCGATGAAGCCTTCCTCGGTCTTTCCCTTTCCTTGACCAATTGCCAAGACAGGAGCAGCAGACAGATTGGGAGTAGGTGCAACAGACTTGTCTTTGAAGTTGCTCTCAGCGACCCTCAAAAGACCTTGGAGATTGCTTAGGGTGACTCCTCTTTGTTCATGTGGTAGGTCATCCTAAATTGGTTGTACATCGGAGGCAAAGAGTGAAGCACCATGTCGATCGCCAAGTCTTCCCCAAAGTCAACATTTAACTTGCGAAGGCGATCGACATACCTTTGCATCTTTTGCAGGTGCACGGTAAGAGATTCTCCATGACCCATCTTAGTGGAAATCATGTTAGTGAAAATCTCATAACGCTCTTGTCTCGCGTTTTGGTGGTATCTCTCCAATAAGTCTTGATGCATCTCGTATGGATACATGTCCTCGTAGGACTTTTGGAATTCGAAGTTCATGGTGGCAATCATGATGCAATGTACCTTCATTGCATCTCGCTCATGAGTATCAAAAGCGGTGATTTCGGCCAGAGTAGCGATTTCGGGGTTGATTTTCTCAAGCTTTTCATCGAGGACATACTCCTTATCCTCAAAAGCGAGCAATGGTGCAAATGTATCTTATCCTTTCGCTAAAGTTCGTTCCATCGAAGGTGACCTTTTGGCAAAGGCTCATCAACGTGAAAGAACTAGCAGCAGCGTTGTTTGCGTTCGACATCTATAGAAAGGACAAAGATAGATTAGAATAAGAATCTTTAATTATCACCCAATATGAAAAATTAGGGTTAGGATCCAATAATAACATTTACAAATTAGAAAAGGGATGCCGTAATCTAACATGAAAATAAATTGAAGGTAAGTGAATGACGATTCACTAATTCTCCATTACCAAAACCTAGACTATTAGTCCTAAGTGTATTGAGAATTCCTAGGTTCGGATGAGATTCATTGAAACTATTCAATGGCATGTTTAAATCTTGATATGCCCCTCTTGTTTGTGACTGGGATGCCGAGGATCACAAAGCGGGTGTGAATTACCATGCAAATTCACATGGTGCCTTCATTGTAAGGATCATCTATTTGATGTGCCGGTAAACCACACACGGTCCATCGAACTATGATAAACAATGAATCACCCTTTGCCACCTTTGCTTAGAACCAATTAGTGTGCCGGTAAACCACACACGCTCCACTAACTTCTTAGCAAGGGTGCAAAGTGTAATTTCATGGGATTGCATCAATTCACTTTTCCTAAAGTAACTAAGATTGGGAAATTTTTAAAACGTGTAGTTACTTTGTATTTCTTATTATACTTTTAATGAGAGGATGAGGTTGCCCTATCCTACCCGTTCGGCTAACGACCCTCCACCAATCAAGCAAGCGGTGGGTGTGAGTGTACACCCATTAAGCGCCATTTTATAGGCCGCAACCTTATACCCACCTTATAGATCGGATTCGTGAATGAGGCCTACTAACGGTAAGACTAGCATTTAGTTATACATATATATATTATTCTAGTAATATCATATTATTATATGGTTGTGTTTTAAACCTTTTAAAACGTAGGGTTTGAAATTTAAGTTGTCTAAATTAAAACTTTTAATCACAAATATAAATTTCAAAACTTGAGGGCAAGTTTTAAACATTTAAAACATGGAGGATCAAATAACAAATAATTCCAATTAACAATTAATATCCTAATTATCTATATTTGATTTATCCAAGATTTCTTTTAAGATAATTATCAAAATAATTAATCAATTATCATATAAGGAAATTAAATATTTTATTAGATGATAAATATCTTTAATTAGATCAAGATTATAGTCATATATATATATATATATATATATATATATATCAAAAAATCGGATTAGGGTTGATCTAATATGATTAAGGTAAGTTTCCATAAGATAAACATGAAAAAATCCCGGTTTTGCGTAATCCTGACGCCCGGACTCGCCGAGTACACAAAGGGACTCGCCGAGTCAGGCCTACACGCCGAGTCCACTTTGGAACTCGCCGAGTCCATGACTCAGAAACCAAAAAATCGAATTTTGCAGGTTTGTTTCAGTTAATCAAGCAACAATTTAAAGAAAACCAAGCTAGGCTCTGATACCACTGATGGGTTTTAGCCATAAGAACTTTCCTATGTGCGCATGCAAAACCCTAATGCTCGGATCTAGGCTTTCTAATTAAACATGCTTTGAATCCAAGACTTCTAATGGCTAATTAGATTAAATAACAACATTGAAATAGATCTAGAACCATACCTTTGAATTCCTTGTTGATCTTGTTGTCTTGGAGCTTCTAGAGTCACAAATGTCACTCCTCTAAAGGCTTACAAACACCAATAGCAAGAAAGATGATTTAGGAGAGAGGAGAGGGGAGGAATTCGGCCAGAGTATCTCTACTTTAGATGGTGTGTCGAATTCCCTCACCCCTAGGGTCTATTTATACTTGTAGACTCCTTAAGGATTACAGCTTTAACCCTAATTTGATAACTTAGACTTGAAGTTAATCCATATCCTTTCCTTGATAACCCTATGGACGATTTTGGCTTATCCAAGCCCTGGAAATCGTCCATCCTGTCTTGGATAAGGATTTATAGTCTAAAGTGTAACTATCAACCAATTGACAGTTTATACCCTCTTATTTAATTAATCTCTTTAAGTCACCAAATTAATTCCAATTAATCTATGACTTATATTAATCAAATAACCATATATTATTCCTTATAATATTTACTCTCTCTTAACAAATCATCCATCAAGTTGCTATGGTGAAGGCAACCCAAAAGGACCATGCACAACCCGATCAAATACTTGCCTAATATAGTTGCAGCCTTAGACACTATTCCAACAATAACTCTACGCAGAGGTGCAAAACTGTTAATTTACTGCATTTGTAAGTCCTCCTTCCATTTCTTAAAATCCAGTTTTCTTTTTCTTACCTTGTTAAAAACACATGAATTTGTTGAGTTCAGAAAGAATTGTGTACAAAGCTACAACGTGTTTGATTTTCTTAGGGAAGTTGTGAGTAAGGTCCCTAACTATGGCCATTCTGATGCTGTTGTTGGTGGTACTGTTGGTTCTGGTGATGATCGTACCATGGTAAAAAGGAAGTAAGTTACTTTCATAAATCCATTTTCAGATTATTTATTCAATGCCAATGAAAAATGTAAAATGTAAAATTCAATTTTATTTTGTTTTTGTTGTTATAGGAAAGTTGTTGGTGAAACAAATGAAAGTGATGAAGAGTTGAAAAGAAACGGGACGGCAAAACTAAAACCCTCTCTTTTTTCCATAATTTGTAATTGTATACCCTTTTTCTATCTATTTATTTAAACTGAAACATTTCCTTCATTTTGTATTAGAATGAAGCCGGGCAAACGGTCAGCAATGGTAGGGGAAGAGGGTGGGGTAGAGGAAGGGGTAGAGGGTCAGCAGAAAGAGACGCGCCCCAAACAGATATAGAACTCGAATCCTCCACCCCATTGATTCAACCAACTACCACCACCGCCACCGCCACCTCTACTGCCACTGCCACCACCCCCACGATCAGTGATGGTGGTCGGGACTTTGATTTGAATGTTGGGATTGATGAGAACATGGAGAAAACATCCGATGGGTTAGACAGAGGAGCATTACCACAACTGCAGCCACCACCACCACCACCAGAGTCAGTTCTTGGTGGTGGTGGAGACGGTGGTTCAAAGGCAGTTGAAGTTAAAAACAAAGATTATCTTGGGGGCTCGCTAATTAAGTATTGGGTTAGACCAATACTTATCCATTTTTTTCATCAATTTGTTTTCTTTATCCATAAAAAATGCTAATTAAGTTTTATTTATTTATTTATGTTTGTGGATTCTCTATTTTGTTGGATATGGTTTATTCTGCCTCGAATCCATGTTCATCTGGGTTATTCAGGTTAATATTTTTTTATTCATTTTAGTAAATTTGATATAATGTAATATTATTGTATTTGTTAATTTTGAACTAATATAATTTTCAATTGGTATTAAACCAATATATATTAAGTTAAAAACTTGTACTTCTATCATTTTTCATTGATTTAGTCATGCAACCATATTAATGAAGTGATTAAATTAAACCTTTATACTATTCGTTTAGTCATCAAATTATCTTTTAATATATATGTATATATATATATATATATATATATTAAACACACACTTTTTGTTGTTAGTGTGGTAAAGAATGATCTGCTTTTTCTTTCTTTGAATGTGGTATGAACCTCTTTATATACCATGAGTATTCAATATTCTTGGTTTAGGCTGATAAGGGAAGCAGAAAGGGCATGGCACGATCTAAGTCAGATATCAAAGATGAATATGTCTACATTTCAAAACAGAAGTTTCAACAATTCTTGTTTCTGTTAGAACTCAACTTGCTAAGAAATTGGCTTCTCCTAGTATGCTAGTTGGAGAAGAATTTCAACCAGAAGCTGTTGTTGTTAATTACTTTGCTTCAGGTACTAATTCTACACAAGTCATGCTCCTTCTTTTCTTAATAACAAAAGTTGTTATTGATCTTTACAGAGAAATGATGGAAGTTGTTATATCTATGATTCTATATTTCCTAAAACATATTCGAAATATTTAACAAAGAAGACACCACATTCCCATAAATCCCCCTCTTTTGGTTCCTTCTAGACCTTATAAACTTTTCAACACTTCCAAGTTTGTCTTCTAAAACTCCCATAGCATTAACAGAAAGCATACACCCAACAATCCCATCTATACTTCCATCAGAAACCATAACAGGAAGCTCCCACACAAGCAAAAGTAGCCTTGAAGCACACAAACAAACCCCTTCACGAGCCCCTAAAAACACCGGTTCAACTTCTTGTACAACTTGCCCCATGCTAAACCCACCAAGAGTAGTTCGGGTATTTCACAATGTCACACCACTACCTTCAATTTGAGGCACCCCAACAACTCTCGGATCCTCAAAAGCCTCAGTAGCCTTTTCAACCACAACATTGTTTAAAAAATTTTATGTATGAACTACCCTTGAAGCCAACATGAAACATAGCAGCAGCTTCACCGGATCCAAGTCGGTTAAAAAAGTCTTCCAATATTGCCCTTGGTGTGTTGGACTCCAACAATTTAATACAAATCTTCACTATTTATAAAATAATAAAGTTATGTAATAAGATAGTTTAATAACTACGCATAAATGATTTTTGTAATCTTAATGAATATTCCACCATTCGAAAGGGTATTTGCTTTCAGCAAAACAGGACCCAGTACATCTAAATAATTGAATGTTTATGTGATAAAAAGAATGTGGGTGTAAAATGTTAATTTTGTAGGCGGATGTGGTGAAACATACAGGTCCAACAAAGATGGTTTTTTACTTCACTGGGGCAACAAATATCCTCTACAAGTTTAGGGGACATGATGTTATAGTGTAAGACAATCCCCTTGTCCTTTGCAATATTTCCAAAAGACACCCTTGCTTTTTTTTATTAAATTAAAATGGATACAACTGTCATTTAGCAATTAGCATCACCTATGTTTTGTTTTGTGGGTGTTATCATCATCATCATGTTGAAGATAACTTTGAGCTTCTTTTGCTTTCACACTTTTCTTTTTCTTTTTCTTTTTTCGTTAAGTCGGTTTTTTAAGGCATAATTGTCATTTTAAAACCGTATATTTAGGAACAAAATAGTCATTTCATTCATATTTTCGTTCACTTTAATATAAAACTGATATGTCACATTATCCCTTGACCTAAATGGATCGAAACTAAAAAGATAAACTAGAAAATGGGTCCCAATAGTTTGATACTCCAAGATTTTGTTGGGCCATGGATTTTGATTCAATGACAAGAGATCCCATACATTCCATAGGTCTATGGGCCCATTAATTATTTGAAACAGGGCCTATAAAAAATAAAGACAAATTCATTCAATTATTTATAAAAGTATTGAATAGAAGCACTGTGTTGTGTAAAGAGAAACAATGCAAGTTGTAAGATTCTCACCTGCATTTCAGTGAGGTCATTTCCTTTTTCTTTTTTTCTGATTGTGTTTTTTTATTTTAGTTTTAGTACTTAATAGAAGCAAATGGGCTTAAATATTCCATTGCTACTGGAAATTGGGGGAAAGCAAATGCAGCTGGAACTAGAGCTGCAAGAGATGTTGGAGCCCTTAGAGAACCGAAGGACAAACTGGAGAAGTGAGTTGAAGAGATGACATGGAGATTAGACTTTGAAAAGCATTTGAGAGTATATTTTTTTATATTTCTTGTATTTAATTAGTTTGTAAATTTTTGTTACAACTATTGATTTGTTTTATCTTTCCATGGAATGATTATTTGTATGACATTAAATTTTATCCAATGGATTGTATTTTTGTATATGATATTTTATTTTCTATTATGAGACATTAAATAAAAATTTAATTTGAAAATTAGTAAATCTATAAATAATATTTTTTTTAAACATTTAAAATTATGATACGCAAAAATGTGTGTCATCTTCATTTATGACATGGCCTTTCTTGACAGAGGCTTTCTTGATACGCATTGCGTGTCATTAACACGCGCGTCGTAAGGTTACGACACGTGAATGCGTGTCGTCTTCCTTTATGACAGGGCTTCCTTGATACGCATTGCGTGTCGTAAACGCGCGTCGTAAATGAGTGTCGTCTCTCTTTATGATAGGGCCTTTCTTGACGCGCATTTGCGCGTCGTCTGAGCCTTTTACGACGTGAAATGAGCATCTTAAAATGCTGTTTTTCTAGTAGTGTGTTGACCTTTGACTTGACCATTAACCAAAGTTGACCCTTAAAGGGGTTATAAGTTTAAAAGAGTAATTAAAAGAGATGTTATGTGTATGAGTTTGAGGAGAGTTGATCCCGACACCGAGGATAGTTTAGCTACTTTACGATATTGAGGTGAGTTACCTTCCAGTAGAAGTGGGTCTAAGGCACCAAGGTTGCATTTGTGATAATCATCATGTATGTCACTATCTGTTATGTTTATGTGCTAGTATGCTATGATGTTATGTGATATGTGATAGGAGGGGTATGATAGACCCTATTACCAGTCGATAGGGTCGAAGGGGTATGCCAGCACCCATATAAGCTAGGAAGTATATGATTATATGTTTATGGAGGATGCTATGTGGTAGAGTAGGGGTGAAATAGTCCCTGGTACTGGTCGAAAGGACCGAAGGGGTAGGCCAGCACCCTGATATGCTAGGCAAGGTATCGTTCGAAAGGACTGAAGGGGGATGCGAACACCCTGATATGGTAGGCTAGGTACCGGTCGATAGGACCGAAAGGGTAGGCCAGCACCCTGATATGCTAGGCAGTTACCGGTTGAAAGAGACCGAAGGGATAGTCCAGTACCCGGATATGTTTGATAGTATGTATGTTATATATTATGTGGTATAATGGGGGAACTCACTACGCTTTGTGCTTACGATTCTCATTTTTTGTTTCAGGTCCTTCTTCGTCGAAGGGAAAGGAGTCGGTACGGTAGCAACACTTCACACACATGATTTTCCGCACATGAGATTCTTGGGATTTGTACTCTTACATTATTACTATTTTATTAGATGGTTTTGAGACATGTGATCTATGATTTTTATGACATGAATTAACTTGATGATGTTTTCTTATAAATTGTTTATATATCGCTATATCAAAAATGAAATTTTTGGCTTTGAATTTTAGGATGTTACAACCGGAGTGCGACCCTCCAATGCCCAAAACTTAGAACAAATTCCCAAAAGGGTAATCAATAAACTTTAGCTAAAAAGGACACCCTAACAAAGAAAACTAGAAGAAAAGCCCCAGTATAGAAACAATGGGCTATGACCCAAAGAAAGGGCTAGTTCCGAGCTCCTAGCACGAGCTCCCAAGATAAGCCTAAAGGATCATTCCTAAAGTTATAAGTTGGGAAAATCTAGAACATGGCTAAATCACTAATCCAAAACAAAAATCTACCCATCAATTAGAAATACCTAATTCCTTACGAAACAAGAAATAATTGTCTTGAGTCGACCCCCAAGGCCAACATGAACTTGGGGAAGAATCGCCTCAGTAAGGGCACATATACCCTGGTGGCCAACTGTGACATCCTCATTTTTATGGCCAGAAAAGACCGATTTTGTTTATGCTTTATAAAAATCAGAGTACTTCTTTTAATAAAAATGTTGCGGAATTTGTTCCTAGAAAAATACGATAAATACGTTATTAAAACATTTTCGAAGAAACGTATTTTATTCATTTCAAAATGTTTGGGATGTCATCGTTAATACAGAAACATAAGCATAAACAGAACTTACATTTATTTACACTAGTGATCTACATCTCTTTAAATCTCTCAGTGTAAAGTGACTTCATATCAACACCTGTGATATAAATAAACTGAGTGGGTCAGGTTGGGAAATCTGGTGAGTACATAGGGTTTTTAACCCACAATAATATAATTATTATGTTTAAACAATCAAATAATCAACCCAATTACCCATCCCCATTATCTTCTTTAGTCTTAAGGATCTACCCTAAGAATCAGCTATTCCTCGTTTATTTATTCCTAAGGATCATCCTAAGGAATCGACACGAAGTCCATCATTACCAAGGCTTATAGAATATATCTGGTGAACACGTAGTCCGAAACATCTGGTAAACACTTAGTTCAAAAGTAACTAGTGAACACACTTAGTTCAAAATACTTAGTGAACACACTCAGTTCAAAGATACGTAGTGAACACACTCAGTTCAAAATACCTAATGAGCACCTAGTTCAAAAACACCTACAGGTTACGAGCTTACTAGCGTTCCATCGGACCATCTAGTATCGCCCATGGTCTTCATCTATACTCCACTAGATGACTGGATCACTGACAACATCGTGTTATCACAAAACAACTATTTCATCTACCCATGTTTTACCCAACACATTTTGTAGATTTTAAATACATATACAGTTTAAATCATTTAAAACATGTATAAAAATCTTTCACCCAACATAGACAGCAAGTATTTAGACAATATGCACACACAACACGTAATTTATATTAAAATACTTCATATCTATGTGTAAGATGAAAGGGACTATGCACTCACCTGAATAGGTGGTGACTCAGCACTCGGACAGCGCCTCGATACTCTCAAAACGATATTCCTTCGATAAAACCTAGTACCAGTACCACTAGGGTTTAGTCTAACGATAACCGTGACTAATTAATAGTTTTGACTATTATTATTATTATTATATAAGCATTAAATAACACTCAATATAACTCATAATAATAGCCCAAATACTCATTATAAGTTCCTAATAATGTTACTATATTAAAACATAAGCTATACTAAAGATAGCGTAGGCATAGCTCACTTACAGCGGGTTTTTCGCAAAACCGGGCTTCGCTGGAGCAGCGTTTCCGAGCCGAAAGACCCTTTTTCTCGGGATTCCAGGAGCCTCGGGGCTTCCTTCGGGTGCTAGGGGGTTTACCTAGGCTTTAGGGAGGGTTTGGGAGGCTAGAGAGAGAAACTAGAGAGAGAAAGAATGTTGGAGAGGTGTGAAGAGAAGTGAATGCCCGGCACCTCTATTTATAGGAGGCCTGACTGGTAGACTCGCCGAGTCTGAGTCATGACTCATCAAGTTGGTCCATGTGGTGGCCTTCTGGTGGTGCCACGTGTCCAATTCTGGTGGTGCCACGTCACCCCCTATCACGTATCAGCCCTCAAACTTAGAAAAATCATAACTTTCACATACGAGCTCCGTTTTCGGCGTTCTTTATATCCACGCGTAGGTAAAATCAAGATCTACAACTTTCGTTTAGACTCCGTCGGCTAATTCTCGACCGATCTCAAATTTAATAGTAGGAGGCGTTTAGACTATTAAATGACCGCGAAGAGTTCATAACTCCTTCATACGGACTCCGTTTTCGTCTGTCTTTTTTCCGTTGAGTTCCTATTAATGAGATATTCAACTCTCATTTAGTTCGCGTAAGCCAAAAACCGCTCGAACTAAAATTCGAGTTTCGGGCTGTACACTACTAAGTCGAATCTTAGAAAAATCATAACTTCCTCATACGCAGTCAGATTTGGGCGTTATTTTTATCGATGTTCTTAGTTTAACATATTCTACGACTTTCGTTTAGATCACTAAGGCTAAAAAGTCCTCCATCGTAAATTCATTATTTACGCTTCCCGATGTCGTGCCGGTTCCGTCGTGAAACTTCGACGGGCCATAACTTCTTCGTTATAACTCGGATTTCGGCGTTCTTTATATGTACGGAAACCTTGTGACATATTCTACAACTTGGTTAAGACTATTTATTCTAAATAATATTTTGTCGAAAAGTCATTTTTGACCCCTATTGCCTCTAAATTGACTAGTCCGGGTCTGCGGGCGTTACAATTATCTCCCCCTTAGGATGATTACGTCCCGGAATCATCAACAAAAAAGGGCTCACATGATGACTCCATTTGTTATATATTCATCCTAAGTCATAACTTCGATGTTTCTTCAAACGAGTATCTAACTCTTAGACTCCTTGACTGCAGGCGATGCTCGATCTTGCATATGCTCTCTATTTCACGTTAGACTCAAAATTATGACCTTCAAGTCACAATCTCGATCCTCACTGGATAAAAACTTAAGATAAGTTCTTTTATTAATACAATGGACCGATGTGTCATATTCTAATGACCTCTCATCGTATGTTGCAATGCTCAGACTCAGGTCTCTTAGAGTCAAATTCCAGAACAGTCTATACCTTCCTTCATGTTCTAGTCACATCTAAAAAGGTACAGTTTTTAGCAACCATCGAGATACTTTTACTGATCGCTTTGATTAATTCTTCCGGCTTAAGTCGGTGCTACATCGAACTTGGTTCTCTGAACCACGTAACATACTTATCGTAGTCGGACTCAATTCGATATGACCACTCGAGTCGGAATATCAACAATCTTCTTGGTCATTACCAAAACAATGGTAACAACGTACTTGAATAAATCAATTACTAGCTTCTTGGTAACTTTGTGACTTTCCCTGATCCAAGCGTGAGTCCTGTGCTTCCGGTAGTATATGCATCTACTACCTTTCACACCTACTCATACTCGTCCCAAGTATTGTCTCGCAGTTTTCCAAGTCACCATACAAGAAAATCACATAACAGTTTAACGTATCAGATAACAAAACAAAAGTTTTATTATTTCTTGACTATTACATAAGTGTTCAAGTTCACCCTAGACTATGCCTCTAATAGGCTACATCATACGACACTATGGCTACTGCATAACTTGATCTTTAGATATGAAGTCCTCATCCTTGATTCCTTGCACGGTTTTCCGCTTCGTCGAGGATCATGTGAAATGCCCTTGGCCTTGGTGGCATTTTTGGTCTTGTTGCTTTATTTTTCTTTGGGCAATTCTTTGAAAGATGCCCCCCTTCTTTACATTCATAACACAACCTCTTGTTGGATGTACACTCATTGGCGTAATGCCCAGACTTTCCACACTTGAAACATGTCACCTCTTCACCGCATTTTCCAAAGTGTTTCTTCTTGCATTTATCACACCATCTGGCTTCACCTCCTCCTCCAGGCTTTGAGAATTTGCTCTCCTTGTTGGACCTTGAAGATCCTTCAAACTTCCGCTTCTCTCCTGCCTTATCTTTTTCTAGACCCTTTTCTCTTATCTGGGCCTCTACATTCTTAGCTGCCCTAACAGTTGTTTTCAAGGTAGTTGCCATTTTGACCATTGGGCCAAAGTCAGTGGGTAATCCGTTAGCAAACCTATCAATCTTGGAGAGTTCAGTAGGCACCAAGTAGGGGAATAGCTTCATCCTCTCGGTGAATGCGGTGGCATACTCATCAACACTCATCTTCCCTTTCTTCAGGTTCTGAAACTCGTTGTTCAGGTCTATCAGACCTATCTCTGAGCAGTACTGCATTTTTAACTGTTCCAAGAACTCTTCCCATGACATCCTTAAGGCTTCTCCTCGTGGCATTGTATCTGCCAATAGCTTCCACCAGCTCAAAACTCCAGTTTTCAGTTGTCTTACAGCGAAGACGGTCTTCTGTTTCTCGCTACAGTCACAGCTCTCAAACACCATCTCCATCTCGGAGATCCAATCCATAATCTCAACAGGCTTTGGGATTCCTGAGAGACTTGGTGGTTTCGCACCCAAGAAATTCTTGTACATTCTCCCATCCTTGTTGTTTCTCCTCTCCGGGCCATCCCTTTGATCACCTTGAGTCCCCACTTGACTCACTTGGCGGCTGTAGTTCCCTTCCTCCGATTGCTCGGGAATCAGCTCGGGTTGCTCAGTGGGCATAGTAGGTTCGTCCCTATTCAACATCTGCCTCATTTCTTCCCTTTGTTCAGCTAGCATAGCCCGAATCATGGCTTGAACTCCAGCCATGGTGATTGGCTTAGGTGCAACTTCTTCTACAACAGGTATTTGCTGAACCACTGGGGGTTGGTTCCTATTCTCATTTGTGTTCACGTTTCCGCTACGGGTCCTTGCCATCTTGATCTATACACCGAATAAGGTGAATCTAGACCTTTACTTAGGATTGACGTTTAAATCATCCTTGTCACTCCGAAACGTCTACATGCTAGTTCTAATATCGTAGTCGTACGTTTAGAATCCTAAACACGTAAGGTTTCCAGATCCAGTCGGCAACAGACCATAGATCCGAATAAATAACAGTATATAAGGCATAAAGCATTTAGCACATAAAAGCATTTTAGGCATAATTCCTAAAATAATCTAGTGCTCGCACCTCACCATCATTGCTTAGCATTCTAAGTTTAAGTCTAGAAATAAATCCATATTCCTAGTTGGCTTAAACTAATGCTCTGATACCAACTGTGACATCCTCATTTTTACGGCCAGAAAAGACCGCTTTTGTTTATGCTTTATAAAAATCAGAGTACTTCTTTTAATAAAAATGTTGCGGAATTTGTTCCTAGAAAAATACGATAAATACGTTATTAAAACATTTTCGAAGAAACGTATTTTATTCATTTCAAAATGTTTGGGATGTCATCGTTAATACAGAAACATAAGCATAAACAGAACTTACATTTATTTACACTAGTGATCTACATCTCTTTAAATCTCTCAGTGTAAAGTGACTTCATATCAACACCTGTGATATAAATAAACTGAGTGGGTCAGGTTGGGAAACCTGGTGAGTACATAGGGTTTTCAACCCACAATAATATAATTATTATGTTTAAACAATCAAACAATCAACCCAATTACCCATCCCCATTATCTTCTTTAGTCTTAAGGATCTACCCTAAGAATCAGCTATTCCTCGTTTATTTATTCCTAAGGATCATCCTAAGGAATCGACACGAAGTCCATCATTACCAAGGCTTATAGAATATATCTGGTGAACACGTAGTCCGAAACATCTGGTAAACACTTAGTTCAAAAGTAACTAGTGAACACACTTAGTTCAAAATACCTAGTGAACACACTCAGTTCAAAGATACGTAGTGAACACACTCAGTTCAAAATACCTAATGAGCACCTAGTTCAAAAACACCTACAGGTTACGAGCTTACTAGCGTTCCATCGGACCATCTAGTATCGCCCATGGTCTTCATCTATACTCCACTAGATGACTGGATCACTGACAACATCGTGTTATCACAAAACAACTATTTCATCTACCCATGTTTTACCCAACACATTTTGTAGATATAAAATACATATACAGTTTAAATCATTTAAAACATGTATAAAAATCTTTCACCCAACATAGACAGCAAGTATTCAGACAATATGCACACACAACACGTAATTTATATTAAAATACTTCATATCTATGTGTAAGATGAAAGGGACTATGCACTCACCTGAATAGGTGGTGACTCAGCACTCGGACAGCGCCTCGATACTCTCAAAACGATATTCCTTCGATAAAACCTAGTACCAGTACCACTAGGGTTTAGTCTAACGATAACCGTGACTAATTAATAGTTTTGACTATTATTATTATTATTATATAAGCATTAAATAACACTCAATATAACTCATAATAATAGCCCAAATACTCATTATAAGTTCCTAATAATGTTACTATATTAAAACATAAGCTATACTAAAGATAGCGTAGGCATAGCTCACTTACAGCGGGTTTTTCGCAAAACCGGGCTTCGCTGGAGCAGCGTTTCCGAGCTGAAAGACCCTTTTTCTCGGGATTCCAGGAGCCTCGGGGCTTCCTTCGGGTGCTAGGGGGTTTACCTAGGCTTTAGGGAGGGTTTGGGAGGCTAGAGAGAGAAACTAGAGAGAGAAAGAATGTTGGAGAGGTGTGAAGAGAAGTGAATGCCCGGCACCTCTATTTATAGGAGGCCTGACTGGTAGACTCGCCGAGTCTGAGTCATGACTCATCAAGTTGGTCCATGTGGTGGCCTTCTGGTGGTGCCACGTGTCCAATTCTGGTGGTGCCACGTCACCCCCTATCACGTATCAGCCCTCAAACTTAGAAAAATCATAACTTTCACATACGAGCTCCGTTTTCGGCGTTCTTTATATCCACGCGTAGGTAAAATCAAGATCTACAACTTTCGTTTAGACTCCGTCGGCTAATTCTCGACCGATCTCAAATTTAATAGTAGGAGGCGTTTAGACTATTAAATGACCGCGAAGAGTTCATAACTCCTTCATACGGACTCCGTTTTCGTCTGTCTTTTTTCCGTTGAGTTCCTATTAATGAGATATTCAACTCTCATTTAGTTCGCGTAAGCCAAAAACCGCTCGAACTAAAATTCGAGTTTCGGGCTGTACACTACTAAGTCGAATCTTAGAAAAATCATAACTTCCTCATACGAAGTCAGATTTGGACGTTATTTTTATCGATGTTCTTAGTTTAACATATTTTACGACTTTCGTTTAGATCACTAAGGCTAAAAAATCCTCCATCGTAAATTCACTATTTACGCTTCCCGATGTCGTGTCGGTTCCGTCGTGAAACTTCGACGGGCCATAACTTCTTCGTTATAACTCGGATTTCGGCGTTCTTTATATGTACGGAAACCCTGTGACATATTCTACAACTTGGTTAAGACTATTTATTCTAAATAATCTTTTGTCGAAAAGTCATTTTTGACCCCTATTGCCTCTAAATTGATTAGCCCGGGTCTGCGGGCGTTACACCAACACTAACCACCTGGGACTAAAAGCAAAATCATTGTAGAAATGGAAGTAACCATATCATCAAAAAACAAAAAAATGTTATGTCGGACAACTCCCGGATTTAAAAGAGCCACGTAGGGCCAAAAAACGATCACTTACCAAGCGAATCAAAGTAGGTGCCAACTTTGGAGGGATCATGTTCTGAAGCAACATCCTCGACCTCGGGATCATTGCACAATTGGTAGAGGCCTCCTAGGTCGAGCTCACACAAGTGGAAATACGAAGTGAATTCCATCTCCATAAAAGCCTTCACAGAGGCTTGCATGGCCTGGGTCAGCTCCAGGGTGGATGTCGACTCCCCAGAATCAAACTTTCCACCAACCACCTGCTTTCTCACCACTTGTTTACCTCCTTCCACGTTGGAAACAATATATGTCACTTTCATCCGTCTAACTTCAAGTGAGAACTCAACTCTCTCGACCACCTTGTCCACCACCCGAACAACACCCTTATAGAGCAGCAACATCACGTCATCCTCTACAGCCTTCCTCCTAAGCTCTTCCGCCTCCAACTTCCGATGTTGTTCCTCCACTCGCCCCTCCAACACATTATTCTCCTCAACCAAGGCTTCAATCCGTTGGGAAAAGCACTCCACTGACCCGTCCAAATTCGCCACCTACTCCTCTATGGATGCCTTCTCCCCAACCAAGAGGTAATAACGCTCCTCAAATTTGTGCTTCTCCTCATCCATTCCTAACATTTTCATCCTCAACTCGTCCCGCTCAACCCTAACAGAGGTAAGCTCTGCTAAATCTGAATTAAACTAGCGGAGGCACCAAGCGGCAGCCACCAGATAAGGAGAAACCTGAGCTGCCGCGTACCGAATACTATTGGACATATGAGAGTTGGAGAGTGTGACATCCCCAATTTCACGGCCATAAAAGACCGATTTTGTTTATGCTTTGTTTGAAAATTAGAGTAATATTTTTACATAAAAGTGTTGCAAAATTTGTTCCCAAACAAAATATGATAAAAATTTATCAATGCATTTCTTTAAAGAAACGTATTTTCATTAAATAACAAATCTCGGGATGTCATGTTCCGATACAGACCAAAAGCATAAACAGTATAAAATAGACCTTACAACAGTTATTTATAACTGCTGATCTATAATCCAAAATCTCTCATCAAGTCCACCAACTTATACTCTTGTGCCATTACCTGTAATGCAAAGAAAACTGAGTGGGTCAGGCTTGGGAGCCTAGTGAGCATATAGGGTTTTCAACCCACAATAATATAATTATTATATTTAATCATCAAAGAATCAACCCAATTACCCATCCCCATTATCTTCTTTATTTCTTAAGGTTTTACCCTAAGAATCAACTATCCTTTATTCATTTGTTCCTAAGGATTGGCCTAAGGAATTGGCATGAAGTTCATTGCTGCCAAAGTTTATCTATCAGGTACTAAATCCATAGCTATCAGGCGCTAACTCCATAGTCACCAAGGTTCACTTAACAGACGCTAACTCCATAGTCACCAAGGTTCATCTACACTGTATAAAATCCATAGCTACCACCGTTTTATTATGAGACACTAAATTTATAGCTGCCAGTATTTTTAGAGTACACCGGTGAACATCAAGTCCACAACACCTACAAGTTGCGAGCTTGCTAGTGTTCCACTGGACTATCTAGAATAGTCTGTGGTTGTCATCCCTACTCTGCTGAATGACGAGGGAGGGGGCATCATTTGGGGTAAAGGTTTCACTCATTTTTCACCTGTCACCCTCATCTCATGATCTATATCATCTTTCGTCTCATCCTTAAACTAATCTTTCCTCACACACCAACTATTTCATCTACCCATGTTCTACACAACATATTTTTAGATATAAATTACATATATAGTTTAAATCATTTAAAAATCTGTATAAAACATTCATTCAACAACCATTTCAAGTAAACAAACAACGTATAAACACATAGCACGTATTTCATAGCAAATACTTCATATCTATGCGGTAAAAGAAAGTAACTACACACTCACTTGTTTAGATGATGCTCGGACAGCACTACAGCTCTAAGAGTAGTATTATTCAGTGAAACTAGAATATCTTCAAACACCGGACTTCTCGCGGGCAGAGTTTCGGCTAGAAAACTCTTTCTTCTCGGGATCTTCGGAGCGTCCTAGGTCTCGGGATGATATCGGGGCTTCGGGGGTACTTCTTTGCACGTAAATCGACGTAAAAGAAAGTACTTGATATTGTAAGACATGTCTCAATAAAAATCATACATATACAATTCCAAGTTTTGACGAACTAGCTGAAAATTAGATAATAAAAAATAACATTTTGTAAAAATGAACTGATAAACTAGATCGAAGATAAAAAATGACATAAAATATTTAAGATAATGAGTTCTATATAATTAATTAGGAATATATTTTAAGTATAAAAAAAAAAAAAAAAAAAAAAAAAAAAAAAAAAAAACCCTAATCTAAGTATTTTAAAAGTTAATTTATAAATTATTTTTTGATTTTACGATATAACAATTAAAAAAAAAACTTAAAAATAAATTAAGTTGTAGCATACCAAAAACAAACTATATCATAATTTCAGACTATAAAATCCGATGATTTATGTGATAATGGGAACAACCAACATAAGTATTGACAATATAATGTTCTCTTTTGGGAAAGCTACCATTTGCATCAATGGTGTGTATCCAAATTTCTTGATGATGGTAAACCATTAATCAGTGGAAAAGGGGTTTGGTTTCTGGAGACAAATGCTCCTTTTTTTTGGACACCCACTCAAGCATGTGTTTCCTTTTTTTATGAGTATATTTTCTCTTTTCAAATTAATGTTTGTTTATTTAATCTTATTTTACTTTTATAATTTATGTAAAAATAACAGCTTAAACGAAATGTATAATCACATATTACTTAAAGAACAAAACATGTAATATTATAATCAATAATCGATTATCTCATTACATGTTTCATATATTTATTAATTTATACAGTTTTTTTTATATCAATTTAAACATTTTGACACAAATTATATAATCACATTTCAACCAATTAAACAAGTTGAAATTAAAGATGATGATAATTTGCTCAACCAATTAAACAAGTTGAAATTAAAGATGATGATAGTTTGCCAAAAAACAACTTTATTGCATAAACAAACATTTAAACCTTATTTTCTATTACCAAAACTATAAATAATCAAGTTTACCAATGGGTTGGTATGTCTCGGTCAATATTTTGGGGGTTTTAGTCCTGCTTAAGTTTACTGATAGAGCCAATCGTAATACGGTGTAGACTACATTTAAGACTTTTTTACTAAAATCTTTCACCATTACCTACTAATATATATATATATATATATATATATATATATATATATATATATATATATATATATATATATATATATATATATATATATATATATATATTGCTAAAACAACAAAAAAATACTTTAAAATTTCATAATTCTTTAACCCTATTTATTTAGTCCATAATCTGCTAGTACTTGGGACCAGTATATAGATTTAGGAAGATTGTGAGTTGATAAGTTTTTTTTTTTTTTTTTAAAAACTATAAAGTTATTACATTATATCCACATTTATATTGTTTCTTTGTTTGCATTGATGCATATATGTAAAGAGATACTTATCGTTTGATGATTTTCATGTTTTTCTCCATTTTGCTTGAAAATTGCAAACAAAAGCTGATAATGTTTTTATTAAATATAGGAATATGATTTTCAATAAGTATAATTGTTATATCTATTTGTTCATTTTTATGGAACTGTTTGATTTATTCTTATAGTTGAAGTTAGAAATTGTTTCAACAAACAAATGCATAATTTGGTTTGAAATGAACTTCAACAATGAGCAAGATGGGTCAAGTATAATCTAAGGTATCAATTGTGTGCTATAGTGGCGCTATAGCGTTTTGCGAAGGTCAAGAACCGTTATTTTCAATTTAGCGTTTTCATTTCGCGGTACCACTATTAATGGCGCTATTCACCGCTATTTCAATAACTGCTATAGCGGCACTACGGACGCTATTCCATTTTCGTTCACATTTTTAGTCATTTGGTTACTTTTTTCAATAAAAAACTAGTCTTTATGATTTTACTACACTTTCATTTTAAAAAGCCCGAACAAATTACATAATTAAAAGCATTCAAAGCAACTATGCCTATTGACAACTCTTTTTCTCATCTCTTTTTGTACTCACGCTAACTTGAATTGTCATGGTCACACTCCATTAATGCATTTTGTAAATCTACCCACGCCTATGAAGTCACGACTTAGGATTTAACTCCTTAAATCAACCACGGCCTACTAATACGATATTGAACCCGTATAATCTAGTTAAACTCTGTTTGAGACTTTTACACTACCTAGTTTCCATATTATTATAATATAATATTATGTTATGTTTTTATATGACTTTTTAGGTTTGATGATATTAATTCTATATAGACTTATAGTAATAATACTCAAATATATATAAATTCTAAATAAATATAATATAAAATTATAAATTATACGTAATATTAAAAAACCACTATATCACCGCTATACCACCGCGATAACCGCGATCTCAAATAGCGGCATGTGACCGCTATTGAAATTTTGATCGTGATAAATGCATAGAGTATAATACATCACAATATAGAAAGAAACTGGTCATCTAAAATTTAATTTTATTTGAAAATTGTTATTGCGATTTTTTAAAATAAATCAATATTCTAATAAATGAATAGGTTTATTCTCCTATTGTAAAGTGTCATACTATTTGGGGTGTGTTTGAAACGGAACATTTTGGAGCATTTGGGAGCTTCTAACGTTTAACAAAACGCTCCGTTTAAAACAAAAAATCTCGTTTGACACTACAAGCTTCTAGCGTTTAGTTTAATCAAAACGCTCCAAATCCAAAAACTACTTCATGTAGCGTTTAACAAAACGCTACAAGCTACCTGCTACAAGTTACCCGCTACTAGCTAGTTTTTTCGAACACGCCCTAGAACTTCTTATTAATATTGTATGTTACATATAATGCCACTTGTCAAGTGTCATGTTCTAATAAATGAATAGGTTTATTCTCTTATTGTCAAGTGTCATACTATTTGAGGCGTGTTCGGCACGGAGCGTTTTGGAGCATTTGGGAGCTTCTAGCGTTTAACAAAACGCTCCGTTTAAAACAAAAGGTCTCGTTTGATACTACAAGCTTCTAGCGTTTAGTTTAATCAAAACGCTCCAAATCCAAAAGCTACTTCATGTAGCGTTTAACAAAACCTCACAAGCTACCTGCTACCCGCTACCTGCTACTATGGATGAGCGTGGGACAGATGCGGTACCGATCGGTACCTTTCCCGATTTCCCGAAAACCGAATTTGGTCAAAAGTCGATCCCGAGTACCAAACCAAATTAATATCACCAGTACCGGGAATGGTACCGGTTTTCGGTACTAGTACCGGCGGTACCGATTCCCGAATTTCATGTATTTGGAGTACCAAGTACCGTTCCATATTTTTATATCCGGTACGGTTCGTTACCGGTTCCGGTAAGGTACCGGTACGGGATCGGGATTTAGGACACACTGTTCATCCCTACCTGCTACAAACTACCTGCTACTAGCTAGTTTTGTCGAACACGTCATAGAACTTCTTATTAATATTGTATGTTACATATAATGTCATTTGTCAACCTATTAATTATCAATTTCAAATTTTAAATTTTCCACTCTAATTACATTAAATTATTAATTGATTTTTTATTTTAAATTTCAAATTTAAAATTTTTTCACTCTAATTATGTTAAATTAATAATATTAGATTAAAAAATAAAACTAATATAGATTGTAAGGTGATAT